TGTGAATATTGAGAAGTTCAGCTATGAAACGATTTGCCGTTGGATTATTAATTCCAAGAAGACTAAATACACTGTCTTTAATGACAAATTTGGAAAACAATTTGACTGTTACAAGGTATTTTATAATTTAGCTCGTTTCAATTCACAAACTAGTAACGGAAAAGAACTTTTGCGCATCATTCGGAATATCCATTACAAGACTCCTGTTAAAATGATTGAGTGGTCCATGATTTTTTACGATGAAGTTCCACTCATGCTAAATAATATTTCTGTATCAGCAAGCATTCAAGAGCAAAGCACAATTCTTAATCTCTACCGTTTTTCCGCTGGTGATGACGAAAACACCTCTTTGCTTCCTGCTGAGCTATGCAAAGTCGAATATAAGGTTCATGACGACTGCGATTCAAATGTCATCCATGATAAAACTAGTGAAATCGAAAACGAATCTATGAAAACAAACGAGGCTTTAATGAGCTTTCTTGGCCGTCTCGAAGCCACTTTAAAATTGGATATCGCCTCCAGTCTTGGGGTGGAAGATCGCATGGCTAAAGTAGAAAATAGACTTGCACGCGAAATAAATTTGCGAAAGGAAGGGCGTCGTCAAGAATCCGTTTTCAGGAAGGAGGTGAGCAAGCTTAAAAAAAGCTTGATTGTCGCAGAAGAAAATTTGAAAGCGGCTCCTGGTCAAGTGGTAGAACGTGGAAAAGAGAAAAGTTGGTTTATTCTTCTCAGTTCCAAAGTTAACATCCTTGAAAACCTTAATCGAGTTTTGGAAAACCATATTCGGTGTCAGAAAAAAATCAATGACATGATTAAAAGGGATACCTCGTTTTCAGAGACATCTAAAATCTCCGATCGCATTAGTAACGGGCATGGAAAATCACAGTCCAAAGGCAAAATCACACTAACTCCTGCAAGAACCTTGCCCGTGCCTGATAAATTCAGGCCAGATCAGAAGCTTGATGCTCAAAGCGAACGTACCAAAGATAGGAGCTTCACTCGCGACGACGAGAACCGTGATCGCTCTTTGCAAAATAATGTAAAATCAAGAAAAGAAGGCATCGATTTGCGGGCCGTTGGTAACCTGGAGAACACTACTTCGACTGAGGAGTCAACGAGGCAAATTTCAATAGGCAGTATATCTAAGCCTACGATAGATGACACCAATTCTTTCCCCAAGTCCAAATTCAAGATGAGTACCCAAGTTTGTGTATCAACTCAGTGTGACTATTCTCTCGAGAATTGCATTGTGTTAAAAATTCCTCCTCTCCCTTCTCAGAATGATATCGCCCTCAAGAAAATAACCAAAGCCCGAAAAAGTCTGTTGAAAAATTCGATTTATTCACAAGTGGACAAGAAAGGAAACGCGAAAAACACTAGTTCTTCTGCCAGTTCCTTGATTTGCTTCAAGCGCACCTTAAAAGCTCTTGTTAAGTATGAACAGATGCTGAGCCATAAAGCACCATTACCTGGCGGAGTAAATAAAAGGCAACCATGCAGTTCATTAAACGGAGAAGCACTTGACTCTACTAGCCGTCAGTGTTCTGCTGATCTCTTAAGTACCGTCAACGATCGTCAAGCATCTCTCCAGCATCATACCTCCCAGAAGAGTTCATCGTCCAAATTATCGTTGGTCAAGAAAATGAAGCCACCAATTCGTGTTTCATCGCGACAAAGCGGGATTCCGTTGAAGAAAGAGGAACTGAAGCGCGAAAACCGCGTGCTCCGCAACGTAGTAGAGGTGCGCACTCGCCAGTTCGAAGAGTTACAGAAAAAGCACTTCGAAGCTGTAGAACGTCACGAGGTCGATAAGCTCGCCCTCGAAGCTGGAAAACGTCACGAGGAGGAAAAACTCGCCCTCGAAGAATGGATTCAATCCAGGATTAAGATGGAAGCTGCCATAAGCTCTCAGCTTGATTCTCTGTATTCTAAATTGTACGATTGTCTTGGAGGAGATACGATTTCCCTTCCGTCGCTTGAGTTCTCCTCAATCGGAATTCTTTCAAAAATCACCCATGTATCTCAACTATCGGCATCCTTGCTTGCACGCGTAAAGCCTAAAGACGACTATAGTAATAATCCACACTCCGTTGAATTAATATCAATTCAAACACTAAAAGTAAAAGTTTCAGACATCTTCATGGGCGTGAAGGAATGCCAATATCAAATTCAGTCAATGCGAACCACTCTGGATTCTTTGGGTAAGCTTGCACCGATGCCCGTTTCCTCATTGGATTGTGCAATTGTCGACAGCGCTCCTGTGGACGCGAAGACGTCAATAAACGACGCGAATGCGTCAACAAGCGACGCAAATGCGTCAACAAACGACGCAAATGCGTCAATAATCGACGCAAATGCGTCAACAAACGACGCAAATGCGTCAACAAACGACGCAAATGCGTCAATAAACGACGGGAATGCGTCAATAAACGACGGGAATGCGTCGATAAACGACGGGAATACGTCAATAAACGACGGGAATGTGTCAATAAACGACGCGAATGCGTCAATAAACGACGGGAATGCGTCAATAAACGACGGGAATGCGTCAATAAAAGACGGGAATGCGTCAATAAACTACGGGAATGCGTCAATAAACGACGCAAATGCGGCAATAAACGACGCGACCGGTCAATCTGCGAAGATTCCAGAATTGGCAGTGGGCGACACTGTATCTTCCAACTTAGCGAGTACATCATCAGATAAAAATTGTGTGTCAACAGCAGATCCTTCCTGTCACGATCTTGCTACGAAAGATGTGATCTTGCTAAAAATGCAGGAAGAACTTGCACTTGAAAAACGTGAACACGAAGCCACTCGGAAAAAATTAGAAGATGCTCGTCTTGAAATCGACAAGCTTGTGGTTGTTTGGGACGTACTCGAACTTCGGCAAGATAACCATTCTGTGGTGGATGATAGTGTAGTTATTCCTCGCTCAGCTGTTTCCTCCTACGACATGGACATACTGGAACAGATAACGGGATTCAACTCAGCGTCTGATGCATGCAACTTCAATGCATCTCCACCTTTGGATCATGCAACTACAGCGCGTGATGCTGAGCCAAACAATGCCAAGTCAGGTCTTCCAGAAAACTGATTGTTATTGACGATCATTGCCGGGGAATTTTTATTCTAATGCAACTCTTAATATTGCAACTCTCTCAATTGGACCGACTTTTCCAACACGCCGAAATGACAAAAATGTTCTTATAGGATAATCTGTCACAATGTTTGAATTTCAGTGTGGTCGCTATTTCTTATCGATAATACAATATTGAGGTATCGAATTATTTGTTATGGTAAATTTAGTAGCGGTCCATGTATCAAAATTCATGTTCAACGATGTTTTGTTTTCTTTAGAATTACCAACGAGTTTCAGTGCCTTTTTCGCCTAAATTTAAGTGTTCGCGAATTCAGAGTGTGCAAGGTGTAGATCTCGCTAACTTTTCAAAGGGAGAATATTTGTTGCCGTTTATGCCTAATGTAGATAACTATAATAGATTGAAAATGATATGGAAGCTTCTAGATCTTTTTTTCAGATTCATAGATTGAAAATAATATGGAAGCTTTTAGTTCTTTTTTTTCGAATTTAGTTTTTTTCTCGAATTTGAGCAGCTAATTCCCTCACATTGTCTCGTCGTTTGTTATAAATGAACAAATACTGAAAACTTCGTAGCTGAATCTAGCTTACAAAGTTTATTAATTATGAGTTATTTTTGGAGAAATGGAATATTTTTTTCGATTAATTTTCCAGAATTTTCCATTATACTTTCTTTAAACGTTAGAAGGTTTTCTTCTACATGTTAATGTTTGGTTGTTGATTGTAAGCTATTTCATTGCAAAAGGAAATACTGATTAAGCCTTTACCTTTATTTGTGACTGCATTTTTTTAGCTCCAAGTCCGCTGTTATAATTATGGGCTGTAATTTTGTTATTGAATGGGATTACAATGCCGTTAAAATTTAGTAGGAATTAATGAACATATTGAATCCTTTATCGTAATATTGACAACAGTTCATATCTCGAAAATTTACTATTTCTTGCCAAAAAATTTCAGCCTCGAAATTGTTTTTTATTTTTACATATCATTTGAAATTATAAATTATTTTCTTTGAAATATGGTACAGCCCGAGAACACATCCCCGTATCATTTTGCATCTCTTTTTACGTTTCTGTGTCCATTTTTTTCGTTTCCAATTTCTGGTAGAGAAATTAGGGGTAAATTTCCATTTTCCGTTCCCGTTTACGCGATTGTTCTCATTCAGCAAGTTCAAAACTATTTTCGTTTAGGCTAACCATATTGTATGGATGATGTAGTTATTCTCATTCAGCTCCAATTCTTGACAAAGGATTTTTCTTGATGTTTAGTTCACTATATATTGTGTTCATTTAGCTTTTGCCCATTGCACCTGGTTTATTTGACTTCTTTACTTTCGCGAAACGTGTTACGCATGTTTGTCCATTTCTTTTTAAATGAAAGGAATAAAATTTCGGTTTCAAATGCGTTATCCCTTCATTGATGGCTGACTTGTTGATTGTGAATAGTAACAATTATCTTCGAATTGTTACCAGCGGACTCTTCAACAAACCATACTGCTCATCTAACCTTAATACAACGTCAGGTGGTTGGCTGATTTTTGGTAATTGCGAAGTCAGTGTTAGCACTCATGTGATGCCGAATCGATAATTCATAAATGAAACTGAAATTTCACGAATTGAATAAATTGAATTGAAAATTGGACGCTTATGCTCAATAGGGTTGGACTCACAATCGTACTAGGTACCTCTCTGTCAATGCTGCGTATACATACGTATTGGTAATGCAGTGTAAGAAAAGGGCACACGCCAATGATCGTGATCATTATAATTTTTGTGTTGTAATTACTGCGTGGCTTGGTTATCCGCAGTTACGTTTTACTCATTCACTGAATAATTCTTTTTCCTAATTGATTTGAATGACAAACATAATAGAGGTAGCTGAAGGATAATCAGATTTAATGTTTATTCATTATATGTATTGCACCGAATTGTTTGCTTTGAAGTTTTTCTAGTTAGATAATCCCAGATCGCGAACGTTCTAGAATTTTCTACGAGGTAAAAACATCAAGAAACTAGAAACGAAAGATGACCTGATCGACATTTTTTGGGAAAATGTTGTCAATTCAAATCGTCATATAAGCAACAGAAATTTGTCAAGTTGCCGGGAGGCAAAGAATCAGACAACTAGATGCACGTATTATCTCATCGATGACCGTAAAGTAAGCTTGGCGCACGAAGGCATTATTAACCTAATTGTGCTGAGAATGACTTTAGGGAGGTGTGGCCTGTAAGATGGGCCAATCAAATGTTAATGTGTTTGAAAGATGAAGAGTGATATTAATGTTAGGTGCTTAGAGTGAAATAAATATTAGAATGAGAGTATTAAGAGAAATGAAAGCTTTGACAGTTAAAAAAAGGCACTCAAGGAAGCGCTTTTCGTTTTTTAGATATGCTTAAGCATACCAAGCATGGACAAAAATAAAATTTTATTTATAGATTTTCCCGTCCGGAGAACATACATTAGTTAGCGGAATGGAAGCAGCTAAGAGTATCATGGATTTTGCTTGCAAGAAATCAAACGGAATTGCTTAAGCCCTCTCTTGTTCCTGCTCGTCGTCATATTCGCCGATGTCTTCTTCTTCTTCGGCGGTGGCTTCCTGGTACTGCTGATACTCGGACACCAAGTCGTTCATGTTGGATTCGGCTTCAGTGAACTCCATTTCGTCCATACCCTCACCAGTGTACCAATGCAAGAAAGCCTTACGCTTGAACATAGCGGTGAACTGCTCCGAGATGCGCTTGAAGAGCTCTTGGATAGCGGTCGAGTTTCCGATGAAGGTAGCGGCCATCTTGATTCCACGAGGAGGAATGTCGCAAACTGCAGTCTTTACGTTGTTGGGGATCCATTCAACGAAGTATGGGGAGTTCTTGCTCTGGATGTTGTACATTTGTTCATCGACTTCCTTCATGGACATCTTTCCTCTGAAAATAGCAGCTACGGTTAGGTATCGACCATGTCGAGGGTCGCAAGCTGCCATCATGTTCTTGGCGTCGAACATCTGTTGGGTGAGTTCGGGAACACTGAGAGCGCGGTACTGTTGGGAGCCGCGAGCTGTAAGGGGTGCAAAGCCTGGCATAAAGAAGTGAAGACGAGGGAAAGGAACCATGTTAACAGCTAACTTACGGAGATCAGCGTTCAGCTGACCAGGGAACCTAAGGCAGGTGGTCACACCGGACATGGTGAGTGAGACCAAATGGTTCAGATCTCCGTAAGTGGGATTCATGAGCTTAAGGGTCCTGAAGCAAATATCGTACAGTGCTTCGTTATCAATACAGAATGTCTCATCGGTGTTCTCAACGAGCTGGTGGATGGAAAGGGTGGCGTTGTACGGCTCGACGACAGTGTCGGATACCTGCGACATAGGTAAAAAAAATTATTGTTAACACGACCATGATTTTCTTCTTTATTTTCACTTTAGTTAAAAGTTAGCACAACTCCTATCTACTGTACTAAACCTTCAAATAATTTCCTAGGTGAATTTTATTTCTTATGTAGGTATTCAAAGATTAGTTCATCAATCTTTCACTGGCATACGGTACTACATTTTAACTTTATTTGCTGTAATTATTTGATCACGTTTGAGAACGAACTTGAAAATTTCCAAGTATCATTTCGTAACTTGAGGCTTGTTTAGGATATAATCTGCTTGGAAATAGGGCTAGGTTTACACATGGGCTTAAGTGTCGGGTTTTACGGTGGTGGTGTAAGAAATTCACCTTGGGGGAAGGTACAACGGAGAAGGTATTCATGATACGGTCGGGGAACTCTTCGCGGACTTTAGAGACGAGCAGAGTTCCGAGACCGGAACCAGTACCGCCTCCGAGGGAGTGGGTGAGCTGGAAGCCCTGCAGGCAGTCGCAGTTCTCTGCCTCTTTCCTGACGACATCGAGGACGCCGTCAACGAGCTCAGCTCCTTCTGTGTAGTGGCCCTTTGCCCAGTTGTTGCCTGCGCCGCTCTGACCTAAAAGGGTAACCAGTGAAGTCATTCTTGGGTTTCTATGTTTCAACCAGTCAATAGTGAATTTAAATCTCAATCAATATGGTGGGTTTCCATGTTTCAACGTGTCAATAGTGAATTTAAATCCCAATTAATCAATATGGCTAGGTATAATATAGATTTTTCAATAAATTGGAATTTATGTTAAGTTGTAAATCATGCAAAATGTTAGATCAAAATGGATGTAATGTTATTGATTCATTTGACCTGTTAGTTAAAAATTCTTTGTTCAGGCATGAGAATCCATACTTGAGCGGGTGAAAGATTGTTGGAGTGAGCATGCCAAAGTCGACATAGTTTCCGTCGACACGAACTCAGTCTTTTTTTCAAGTCGTCATCTCAAATTGTGATCGTCATCGAATGTTATTTAAATAACCGTACGTTTTACCGCGAAAGGCATCAGAATAATATGGGTGACACTAATAGCCTGTCAGATTACTTAATGTGACCTGCAGATTCGATCACTGATCAAAATCATGATTAAAGACTGAGTACGTGTCTTGGATTTGGCATCATGGGCCATACTTTCAAAACTCGCTAAGTGAACGTAAGTACTTACGCTCTTGTATACCTATTCTTGTCTACAATTGGTGGATTTTGCTTGAAAGGCCGTCAATGATTGGCTGATGAACTTACGATCTCTTAACTTTTTTGAAAGTATAGGCCCAGGTCTCAAGATGATACAAGAAGACGTACCAAAAACGTAGTGTTCAGGCTTGAAGAGCTTGCCCAGAGAGCCAGCTCTGACAGCGTCCATGGTGCCAGGTTCGAGATCAACCAAAATGGCGCGAGGAACGTACTTGCCTGTCGTGCCCTCGCTTTAGCACGAGCCAAGCAGACAAGCAAATTAGATGTTAGTTATTAATGCAGTTAATTCAAGCAAACATGCGAGTATTTGCGTGTTTTGGTGAGTGTGTCGGTAGCAACTGCAGCTAGCGATTGCTTTGTGATGGCTTAGATTTCAGCAGAATGTGATGTGGAGGGAACGAGAACAATGTGGTTGTGCAGAATGATTTTTTTCGCATTCCCGACAAAGAGAGTGTTGAAAAAGTTAAAAAATGATATATTTCTGAGTCGTAAATGGCTATGACTTTGCTGTGTTTAAGAATGTTAAGTGGACAATATGACGTGATTTTGATGAGTGGTTCCAAGTGACGTCACCTGGATTGAGTAAAATTAGACGTGGGGAGGTTAGAACAGAAAAATGACAGTGAGGTTTAATGAAAACCAGCATTAGTGGATGTTAGTGGCGCATCCTCGATACCCGAGTTAGCAAACACTGGATGCCGATGTTTGGTTGAAAAAATTATGAAAAACGTACCAAATACAAAGTGGCTAGGTTTGAACAGCTCGCCCATAGGTCCAGCTTTGACCGAGTCCATAGTACCAGGTTCAAGATCTACCAAGATGGCACGAGGCACGTATTTGCCGGTCACGCCCTCGCTGTTATGGTCAGAACTTATGTTAAACATGATGCTATTTGCGTTATATTTCCTCTCATTTCTGTTTAAAATGCCGGCTTATATAGAATTGACAGTATCATCAAACAACGAGCGGGAAAACATATAGGTATATTATGCTGTGCCAGTACTAACTACAAATGTTTCGTTTTTTTTTTTAAATTCAAGCATAAATTGCAAGGAGAGAATGCAGCTGGTACTTTTTTAGGTACAATTATTTCGTTGTCGACGTTTCTCAAATGATTACGAAGATCCTACACAAACTAGTCAATGACCTAGATTATGATGATCAGTCAATTAAAAAATTTCTTCTCTCTCTCGTCTGAAAATCAATTAAAAATGGAATCTCTCACCTCAACTCCTATTAATTATATTATATAATTTCAGAATATACTTACAAATTAATATTTGTAATTTGACTTCAAACCTTAATTTATTCCATGGCCCTGGCCCGAGGTCCCCGCCTCACCTGTAGTACACGTTGACGCGCTCCATCTGTAGCTCACGCACGTCCTGAGGGACACCGTCCCTGAGCGTCCCGCTGGGGGTGAGTCCGTGCTCATCGCTGATGATTTCCCAGAACTGAAAAATAAAAACTTTTATAAATCGAAAATCAACTGTGATCATTGCTGATGATTTCCCAGAACTGAAAAAAATCATGCGAACTCAAGTTAATTGAAAGTCGACTATGATCATTGTCGACTGAAAAATAATACGAACTTCCATTAATCAGAAGTCAACTGTGATCGTCGCTGATGATTTTTCTGAACTGAAAAAATAAGTACTCGCGGTAATTGAAATTCGACTGTGGTCATCGCTCATGCTTTCCCTGTACTGAAAAAAATTGATCGAAATTCAACTTTGGAAGCGCTCCATTTAATGTCACCTGAGAACATATATTTTATAAATGGGAAATTGTAAAGGCTTTTCGCAAATTCAATCAAATTGTTTTGACATGAATTTGTGTATTATAAATTATTGTTCGAAAATAATGAATCAAATTCGACCCTAAAGAATATGTAGTGCGTGTTCAAGTCTATTTGTAAGCACGACTGCTCTGTGGGAGCACAGTTTAAGATAATAGATCGTTGAGTGGTAATGCTGCTCTAAGCGCACAAAACTGCTCTTTATGAGCACAGTTCAAGACTTCAAGATAATTGGCCTATAATTGGCAATGCTGCGCTAAGCACGACTGCTCTGTATGAGCACAGTTCAAGATAATTGCCTATAATAAGTGGCACTGGTGCGCCAAGCACGACTTCTGTTCGGCTGCACGTATTCGTCTTTCGCAAATCTTCCTCGGTCGGTTCAGTCGCACGCGTTTGTTTTAGAAAAAGACTCATGAATTTTCTCTGCAAACTTAGTACAATGAGACACCATGGAGCTCAACTCTTAACGGTAAACTGGCCTAAAAGAATACAGTGCAAGAAAACAAAGTGGGCCGTGCGTTCAGCTGGCACACATTGTCTTCTTTATTCACGACGATCTAAATATCTGCTACCATTGCGCATTCTGATGAAGTCATGAATATATAGATGCTGCATTGATCCAGTCACTTACAGGTGTTGAGTTCGAGATGGTATCGTTCGCTGATTAATCAATTACGGTAGCGAAATTCGCAGGGATTTTACTGCCTGTCTCAGCGACACCATGATTTACTTCCAGTTTGACGCGAGTTGCTTCAAAATGTAATCAATGGTGGAAATTTATTAATTTTTTCTTTATTTTCGATCGTTCTATATTCCTGGGACTAGAACAACACTGCATGTTTAGTCAATGCATCTTATATTTATTTTGTTTATTCACTCGACTGAAATATAATATGCACGTACCGAAATATTTGTACCAGTAAGTTAAACCGTGTACTGTCTTGAAATAAATTAAGTGGCTTTGAGCTGCCGCCACGCTATCGATCCTTCAACACGTATAGATGTCGGCATTGAAGCGCGACGCGACGTCGAGGTTGAGACGTCGGTAATACGTTCGATGTCGACGTTGAGGTTGAGACGTCGGTGTAATACGTTCGATGTCGGCATTGAGGCGCGACGCGACGTTGAGGCTGAGACGCCGGTAATACGTTCGATTTAGACATTGAAGCGTGACGCGACGTTGAGGGTGAGACGTCGGTAATACGTTCGTTGTCGACATTGAAGCGTGACGCGACGTTGAGGCTGAGACGCCGGCTTCCTTTTCACGAGCTGCCGCCGTAGCCAGGAATTGTCGGAGCGAAGCCTCCAAACGCCGCGTTCAGTAGCGCAGAAATCCTCTTTTGTCTGGCGTTGTACATGTTTTTTTTTTTCAATCACTGTCATCAATATGTATTTGTGTCTCGAAAATTGAAGTGCATCTGCCAGAAACATGGACAGATGCTCGGCCATTGACTCGTGAGTATTGCATGCGTTCTTAGGTACATTGCAACTGCCAGGTTCCACTATCATTTTTTAAAATTTCTCGTCCTTATTCATACTCATTATCACAAGGACAATATTCCCGCTCGAATGACCCTCAATCATGCAACACATGAACCATCATTATCAACACCTTCAGCGCGGTCTGACATAAATGCTCGTTACGCAGCGACGAAGATAAAAAGGACAGCATTTCCCGACCATAAAATATCCCTGCGCATGAGTGCTACTCTGTCGGTCACGCCTTTGATGTCCACGGTATCTCAAGGTCTGAATATCCACCGGATGTTGGTGTCCAGCGGTCCATCGCAATTTGAGGAGTGTCGCATGCTTCCAACCGGAATACATTCACATTATCTCTACGCATTTATCAGTTTTTACGTATAAAGGAAGTTTAATGGCAGAATTTGAGTTAGGCAAAACTTTTTATGTTGCTTTAGTTTTTTTATATCAGGAAATGATTTGCGAATAATTATGATTTGAACCCAAAGTGTCATCAAAAGCCAAGGACGTAACATAATAAAATAAGATTGAATTTCGGCTGAATTAATGCTTCAAAACTCGTCTATTGCCACGCAAATCCTATTAACCGTGTGTATTCATCTTTTTTAAAGAGCTCAACGGAAAGACACGACTTTGAAACTCCTTCTTCCGTTAGTCCAATTATAACCATCACAATTTGAGGCAATTTGAGGTTGCTCAAGCAACGTAATGAAGCAGTTGCGTGTTGAAAAGTTATGAGCCTCCGCCATAATTCTAGCAAAAGAAAGATCATTATAACCGCAATGATGTGGCCCGCACTAATCGGGCCCTGCGCTGCGTGATCTTCTCTTCACGTGTCACGCACGGATGAGCGCAGACCGGTCAACACTCCCGTTCGCGGTTGCCGGTGCAAGGAATAATTAGTGAAGGAAACGCCTAAAAAGTAAACTCCTGTGATTCGCAGAACTCTGTTCCGGCTCATGCGACCGATTGTTGTGAAGTTCGTAAGAAGTTTGTCGTTGACATTAAAACATTCAGTGCTTCTTTAGTCGTCTCTTGGACTCATGAGTGGAAAAATCTAAAAACTTCGTCGTCGACAAGCTATTTTTTTCGTTCCAGAGGGCAGTCTAAACCGACTTTCAATTCAACGAATCGAGTAAGTACTAAACATAATGATGTTTTCACAAGCATAATTATGCAGTTCGAACAAATGTATTTTGAATGTGTACGAAATATGTCGAATATTTCAAGGTAGATGTTATCAGAGTCAGTTAGTTTTTTCACGGCCGGATGTTCACGAGCCATTACCCCGTTCTGCGGTGAGTTATGCGAGGTGGTGTATATATATAGAGTTGGACTGAGAATAACACCTTTCATTTTCAGCTGCGAAACAAGTCTCTAGTGGAGGAGTTCATGGATTTCTGTGAGAAATAAATATTTATACTAGTGAAGGGGGAACCAACTTTGAGGTACACCTTAGAAACATCCCAAGTTTAGCTTTATCGCAAATATTTTGATTTTGGCTTTAGGTGCTGGCACGCTGGTCGATTCAGATTGCTACCGAGCAGCAAGCAGAAATTATCGAACGGGAATCGATTGTTAGATTCTTCAAAATCTTTGGACTTATTTTGACTTTTTGCAGTATTTTGAAGTTCCAATCAAATATCCAAAGTTCAAGAGCCTTTAATTCCTTACCACGATGTAAGTTCAGGAACCGGAATTAACTATCGAGAACCGAAGTTTCTCTGTAGCTTCAAGCTAACATCCTGTTAGGAATGCCGCCACTCTAATCTCCCTTGAATTCTAGACAGCCTAAACCTGTGCCCTTGTCCAATCTGTGCACGTCTGCTACCTTATTTAAAGTTAAAACCGAATCATCGTATGCTTTTGGTTAGGCATTCGTTTACCACCCTTTCAACAGGGTATAGATACAGATGAATTCGTTTGACTTGATAGGGCGTGCAATATTCAATTCTGCTAAAAAGCGATATTTATTTTCTTTCTTTCATAAATTAATCGTCGAGATTTTATTTAATGAAAGAAACCAGTAAAATTCTCATTTTATTTGATCAAGCTTGAATAGCGATCGCGAATCATGAGTAAACGCAACGTATTCACTGAAAATTTCCCCGTTTCGAATACATCTGGACAATTTTCTGAGTAATTGTTGAAGCGCCAGCACCTGTTCATGCAATAGAGTCTTATGCGGGGGCCAACTTTCTCTTCGGGTCGACCACTCGTCTCAAGGCCTCAGCCAACGGCGCCCAGCTCACAAAGGGAAATATATCCACAACTGTATGGTGAAAGGTGAGCTTCTGGCGACATTCATTACATCCTGTCACGTAAAAAGTTACCATGACCGCCATATAGCTTGAAATTATTCACGTTCTGTCCGTGATATGACAAGAAACGAACACGCATGTGCACAGTGATAACTGCAAGGTCAAGCGCATGGTATAAAGTTTGCTGGGCTGCCGTGGCAAATGTTAATGATATGCGGGGATAATAATGGTTCAATTCCACTGCCAGCTCAATTAATGTTTTTGTGCATGAATTTGTTTTCCGGAATTTTAAATAGCGAGATATTTCTAGAACTGGCATTCATCATGAATAATTTAATAAAGAAACAAATTCTTTAAAGTACAAATTCTATGTAATTAGATAATAGTTTAGTCGGGATTTTCACGGATCAGCTACTGAGTTGAGATATTCGACCATGTTTATGGTAAAATCTTCGCTAGTGTACAGCGTCCGAAGTGTGCCGTAGGAGCTTTACATTGATGAAGCGTAATGCCAATTTATGAGTCCTAAACTTCTTTCATTTAAAAGTTAAAGTTGAACAAAAAATTGCATCACGCAATAGGACGTCTAATTCAGCCAGATTATTAAAGGCCATTGGGACAATTTAGGCATCATTCACAGTCCCATTGTGCTTTTGTTGCTTCAAGCACGTGTACTGCAGCTATACAGACGTTCCTCGAGTACCTAATGTAACCATGGCAGGTTTAAAAGAGCGCGGTGACTTCATCCGAATAGATCAAGTGGTGAAACTGTTAAGTTAAATAACAAATTACAAAAACGTTAACATGAGCGCAAACTCTCGTGTATAATTTTATTGTATCTAATTTTGGTATGCGCATCGGTCGTTTTTTAATAGAATCATTGTCTCTGAGATCATGTCTTAAATATAAACGACACTGAAGGAAATTAGTTTAGTCATGCAAGCGTAAAACTCGCATGCTCGCTGGCAGGATAGCCTTCCCTGCTTAGCAGATCTCCGTCCGCGGGTTTGACCGCCTGCAATTTTTTTCTCTAGCTTCATGATCTCATGGAGGTTCAAGACAGGAAATGACATCAGCGCCGCCCTTTAAACTTTTAAAGGCCTGGACGTACTGCGCCAGACACTCCTAGACGCCTCCGAGCCAAACACCATGCCCACGCAGCTCGTATCCACACCCATGTATATAGAGCTACTCTTCAGGCAAATAACATTGAATTAACATTTCATCGAAGCGAATTCAAGCTCGTATCCACACCCACGTATATAGAGCTACTTTTCAGGCAAATAATATTGAAATAACATTTAATCGAGGCACATTCAACTTTTAAACGATTAATCAATGTTATATAACCTCAGATGCCAAGTTTGTGCAGCGACATCAGCCGGTTTATGTTAAATTGTAAGGTATCAATCAACAACGCATGTAATTTTATCAGGCTGGTTTGGAAGAAATTATTTTGTCTTTGCATTATTGTGGATGAGACTTGGGCAAACAATTTTGTGAAATGCAACAATGAATTTGGAAAAGCTTTTATTTCCGTTAGGGTGGTCCAGAATTGAGAATTGAGGCTCTTTTTTCCTGTTTATTGACGATACTCAATGAAATTTTTTTCGACAAGACGAACCTGATTTCGAAATAAGTTATTAATCTAAAAAAATTCAAAACTTTTACCGGAAAGATCGTGCACAAAAAAAAATCTATTTTTGACTCGGTATACACTAGGTTAGATTGCACCTTTAGGTTTGCAGTGCCAGGCTAGCACAATTCTAGTTCTGAAGCACCAGCTGTTGTGACCGGCAATTTCGCAATTCCGTCGCATACGTCGGTGCCAAGGAGGTTGCGACAGACACTAGAGAACCTCACGTTCCGAGCGACAGCGGCCATTATGATACGAGAGGCTGATTTCGTTGCATGTTCTTTTAAAGCGGCTAATTTAAAAGTCGTTCTCTTGTTGTTGTTGTTGTTGTTCAAATTCTTTTCGACGCAAAACATTTAAACGGTAACTATAATTTTTTTAAACCATTTACGTATGTCATGAGTTGAGTTTCCGACTTTCCGATATAAAAACTCGTAAATACTGAAGAAAGTCGAGAAAGAATCTCACAAATTAGTATATTGTATCTCGATTTACAGTAACTAATATGCGCATCGGAATTGAACTATGTTTTAAAATTTCAATGAATAGCGAAGCTTACAACAGGTACGCGCGGGGTTTGAAAGACCTCAATGATGTTCTTTACCCTTGACTCGAGGCTTAAAAGAAACGCACAAAGAAACATAGGAAGGTATAGCAAGACGCCCTTGTACTGTGAGCTCTCTTGAGCTCCCATGAGTCACCCGCTTGCCTTTTAAGCTGGGCCTCGGCTGCCATATTCGGACTGTGGCTCAGTGAAAAGAAGTTGGACGGCTGTAGGGGCAGACTGCGTCGATTGAGAGTAGAAGAAACTACTCTTGCTAGAGGCTAGACACCTGTTTTCCAGCACCTATATGTTCTCGATTATAAGGAGCAGACTGCGTCGATTGAGTAGAAGAAACTACTCTTGCTAGAGGCTAGACACCTGTTTTCCAGCACCTATATGTTCTCGATTATAATGAGCAGACTTCGTCGATTGAGTAGAAGAAACTACTCTTGCTAGAGGCTGGACACCTGTTTTCCAGCACCTATATGTTCTCGATTATAATGAACACCAACTCGTATGCTTGGAAGACTTATTTAGATATAAACAATTTCATAATGAATATGTACTACATTTATACATAACGTACAATTTAAAACCTCTATATTCTTCATCACACATTATGAATCTCTGAACGAGCCTTGACTGAACTTCTATAAAATTCATGATAATTAGAGATGTAAAATTAAAGATTCTTGATTAATCTATTTGAACGTAATACAAACTTTACGTCTGGACTGTCCTATTATAAACAAGCGCTTTCGCAGATTTACATTCTTTCAATATTTCATAGAAAATCATCAAACGAAAACAGGAATTGGCAAGATTTTTTTTTATCACAGAACATGAAGACATGCTTCTATCATGATACAAAAATCAAACATTTCAGATCTTCTCGTATGAATCTGTAATTAACTTACATCTAAAGCACGACACACGTATAAATAAAAATCGATAAAAACTTCGAGTTCGAGTCGCTTCTAATTTTGCTAACTCAGGCCCAGTATTTTGGAACGGTTTTAGTCTAGAAAATATAATTTATTGACCGGAAAAGGCCGTGTTTTTGTGATTATACAAGAAAATTATGAACTCAACATGGTATAATGAGCAGACTGCGTCGATTGAGTAGAAGAAACTACTCTTGCTAGAGGCTAGACACCTGTTTTCCAGCACCTACATGTTCTCGATTATAAGGAGCACTATATGTTCTCGATTATAAGGAGCAGACTGCGTTGATTGAGTAGAAGAAACTACTCTTGCTAGAGGCTAGACACCTGTTTTCCAGCACCTACATGTTCTCGATTATAAGGAGCACTACATGTTCTCGATTATAAGGAGCAGACTGCGTTGATTGAGTAGAAGAAACTACTCTTGCTAGGACTAGACACCTGTTTTCCAGCACCTATATGTTCTTGATTATAATGTGTACCAACATGTAGGCTAAATATAGTCCTTTTATTCATGATATTTGACAAAATTAGAGGGACTTATTTAAGCAATTTCATAGCGAATATCTACTACATTTATACATAACGTACAATTTAAAACCTCTATATTCTTCATTACTCATTATTAATCTCTGAACGAGTCTTGACTGAACTTCTATAAAAATGCATGATAATTAGAGATAATTTTGCTAACTCAGGCCCAGCATTTTGGAACGGTTTTAGTCTAGAATATATAATTTATTGACCGGAAAACGCCGTGTTTTTNATTTTGGAACGGTTTTAGTCTAGAAAATATAATTTATTGACCGGAAAAGGCCGTGTTTTTGTGATTATACAAGAAAATTATGAACTCAACATGGTTTAATGAATAACTTGGAAGTAATATGCTTTTTTCGGCTAATGCCCAGCATTTTAGAACGGTTTTATTCTCAAAATTCAAATTTACCAAAGAATTACACGATGTTTCCTGATTACACGTGCACATTATGAACTAGACAAGAAGCAGAGAATAATTTGTAAAAAGTTTGCTTCATTTGAGTCATTCAAGCGACACCGTGGATTCGCTTGACTCAGCAGGAAACCGCCGTCTACAGGAAATGACAGCAAGAATGAAAATAGCTGTATTAAGATCACTTGGCTGCTTAAGTCGCAAATTTACCAGGAATTTAAAAGTAAAAAAATAGCCAAAAAGTTCACCATTTCTTATGAGAGAAAACGTTTTCTCTTATAAGAAATGGTGAACTTTTTGGCTATTTTCTTTACTTCTAAATTCCTGAAAATATCTGCACTTATTTTGCGGATAAGATTCTTGGGAACGCAAGAATGAATAAATCTGCTAAGTATAAGAACTTTAATTTAGAGCCTCAGATATTATATATTTATTAGGTTATCCGTGGGTTCAAATATTAACTTGAGATTGATGAAATGGGTTCGTTTCCAAATGATTACATTAAATGGAAAATGCTTTTAGTGTTTTTCTTCGTTCATTTAGTGTGGGAACGCGAGAATGAATAAATCTGCTATAAGAACTTTAATTTAGAGCCTCAGGTATTATATATTTATTAGGTTATCCGTGTTTTCAAATATTAACTCTAGATTCTTGATTAAATGGGTTCGTCTCCAAATGACTACAATAAAAAGAGAATGAGTTTAGTGTTTTTCCTCGTTCATTTAATGAGGAAAATTTTCAATTCTTGAAGGTACAATTAATTTTAATGGAACTTGAAAAGATATTTATTTTACGGCATAACAGATAATCGTCTGATTCGTGGAAACAAAATTAACCTAAAATAGACTAGTATTCACTAAGATCTCCTGCTGTTAAGTAAATGAGATCTAATGCTTTCAATTATGATACTCTATAAAGGGCATCGTAATTCTAATTGCGTAAGATTGTATCTTAAAAAATTGTTTCGAATTAAACTGACGTTAGAGTCTTTGCTGGTATTCGGACTAGCTTAGTGATTCGACAACCGTTACCCCACAGCCTTTGCTGTAAGCATTCAGCCGCTTCGTGGAATTCTTGTACAAGTTTTAGTGTAATTAGGTATTTCTCACCTTGGTTCCAATCTGGTTGCCGCACTGGCCGGTTTGCAGGTGGACGATTTCTCTCATGTTTGTTGATGGGCTTGTTGTAACTTCTACAAAAAATTAAATACGCAGATATGCTTAGGGCAGGAGCTAGTGTGTGGTCGCCTGTATAGCACGACTCCCAGCTTGCAACTGAGGTCTGAGAGCACCCGGCTGAGCCTTTTGTTACAGTGGCAACCCACGTCACCTCTGAGAGTGCCGAGCATGCTTCAGATCAACTCGAGACAATTTACGCAAAATTATGTCGTTTTAGTCATGGTTTCAATAGAATACACGAATATTATGGATACTTAACAATTTCTACTATAAACCTGGGTCAATTGTACCCAAAATTACCCGAAGCTTTGCGAAAGTTGCTTGCGTTTGTATTTATCGTGAACGCAGGCGCCAAGTGCCAGCGAATCAGCGTCGAGCTCCACCCGGGCGGCGCGAGCTGGTGGGTGGCTACTTTCCTACAGGACTCGCACGGCTGGCGCACAGCTTCTTTGCTTGATGTGGTTTCTTTCAGTTTTACTGAAATTTTACACTATGTTACCTAAATTTTGTTCAAATGCCAAATCTTTGTTGTAAATTATTTTTCGATTACTACAGTATGATGATAACTCATCACCACGTTACTCTGACCCAATTAGGTATAACTAATGACTAAATCTTGCTATTTTTTACTGGACCCGCTCGTAAATTTTACAAGAACTCTTTAATCTAGATTTTTAAACAACTCTTATCACAAAATCATCATTCCATAATTAATTGCAACCTCAAAGATCAAATTACCTGCTACTTAAATGAGAGGACCAGGAAAAAAATTAATTTTGTGTGTGTGTTTTAATTATTCATGACTTACAAGCTTTCCTCCATCTCTTGAAATTCGCAAGTTCTGCTTATATTTGTTGCGAAAACTCCGATTTTAACTAAATTTCTGCAGCGCAAAAATAAAAACCTTCCATTAGCTAATTTTGATTGACTTTTGCAATAAATATCATTTATTAATTTTGGTAACAAGCAAGCTAATCGTCACAACTAAGAATCAAACAAAATATTAAATCACTTTTCTCTTCATTATGTGAAAATTCAGGCAAGAAAATATATTAACTTTTGAAGTGTGTTGCGCAGACATTCACTGACTTGCACAAAATTAAAATGAGACGATTCTCTGATTAATTATCTAATGACTAATTGGTAAAATTTTTACAAAAGATTAAAATATACATTAAAACGTGCATCGAAAATTTGTACATTTTGATGTTTATTTGCCTAAAATTGTAATATTCTCTAAATTTTAATTGAAAATATTCCTGGCGTCGATTTGAAACGCAATTGCGTAAGCTATCTAAGTTCAGGCACTTACAACCTAATATTCATTCCATTAATTTACACATCCAACATTTTTTCACCTCATTGATTTATACAGTTACAAATTTGTAGCTGGGTATAGACATTCAATTACTGTAACCCCGGATTTACAGCCCAAACGCTACCCTCCGACATTTATGATTTTTCAATTCAAAATTTGATAACTTGTCAGCAGAATAATTACCAATATAACAATTAGCATTACATTTCCTCCTCATGAAATTATTCGTCTTTGATTATCCTGCTGTTACGAACAACACAGTCACGACTAATTTGATATCACGCTGGGTTAATCATACATTTTCAGCGCATTTTCTCATTTATGGAAAAAAGGCGCTATTAAAATTGTTCTCGCCATGTCCGTCCGTCCGTCTGTCCGTGACCTCACTTTTTTGTCGACGAGAAAATGCGCGCTCTGTCACTCACTGCAGTGAGTAGTGAGTTATATTTTTTATCTTATGACTTATTGCTAGCGTTCCCTGACGAAGTTTATTTCGGTTGGCGAGAGTAAAGATCCTCACTTTACTAGCATTATCTCCTCAGCATGCTTAGAAAAACTGCTGTGAAAAGTTAAAGTTTCTGTTATACAAATGTATTAGCGTTCTGTTCTATATTCTGTTTTGTATAAAATACGCGTGGATGAGTTGATACCTGCGTATCCACTCATCATCGAAGACTACGAGCTTTTCTATCAAAATTACTAAAATATAATAAAATTTGAAAGTGCTAATAAAGTTTTTTCTACATTTGGTGGCAGTTTGTTTTTGTTAGCCTAGATTTATTGAAGCTTAGAGGACAATCTATTATAATACTCATTCTCGTTATAATTTTTTTATTCGTTTATCTTGTTCTATTTATGAACTATCAAATTCAATAGTAAACACGCACCAGTTTTTAAGTGTACAAAATACTTTTTAAATTATTTCTTCACATTTACGAACGTAAATCATTCGTCCCTTGAGTTTATTCTAAAAAAAAGCAGATGCACGATTGTATTCTGCCGCCCGCTGTCTCGCCTCATGTAGCCCGGGTCTCGCGAGACGAGACACGGACCGTGACTCACGTATCTCTGCCGCCTGCGTCTCGCCGCCGTTACCGCAAGGCTCGCGAGACGAGGCACGGACCGTGACTCACGTATCTCTGCCGCCCGCTGTCTCGCCTCCGTTAGCCCGGGTCTCGTGAGACGAGGCACGGATCGTGACTCATGTATCTCTGCCGCCCGCGTCTCGCCTCCTGTAGCGCGCGTCTCGCGAGACGAGGCACGGATCGTGACTCACGTATCTCTGCCGCCCGCTGTCTCGTGTCCGTTTCTGCGAGACTCGCGAGACGAGGCACGGACCGTGACTCACGTCTCCCCGGCGAGGCGTATGTTTTGGCGCCTGCCTAGCGAGCAGGAGTCTGTTTGGTTACGGTGGTAATTGTTCGTGGAGGTGTTGCTGATGTCATCGTCTTGGTGTCGTGGTCGTTTTGGTGTCGTTGATGTGAAATTTGTCTATAAATTTCAGTGTCAAAAATTAACTGGTATTAATTTTTGTATGTCTTCTCTTTTCAGGTGATAATTTAGTTGAATAAAGCTACATTCTAGCCAACCTTTGTTTGAGACCTACAAGACTTTGAGGTTCATTACAGTCGTGGAAATGTTTTGTGTTGATTTTCCAAGTTATCATACTTATGCGGGTTGACATTTACGTGCAGGAGCGTTTTTGTTCAAAAGCTACCTGAGTGGAATTTAAATTTAGTTATTGATATTAAATTACTGTTAATAATCATGAGTGTTTTGTTTTTGAAAAGCAATCTTAGTGGTAAAAAATAATTTAGGCCGCAAGGGCTCATAGTTAAATACCTCGTAGAAAAATCCAGGAGCTCAACATTACCAATTTACATTGGTCGTATACGTATTCTATTCTAAATTCCTATAAATTAAGTGTTCGATCTTCGAAACGTTTCACTCAAGTCGCATTAGCACAAAACATCATGTTTTTCTGCTCTTATGGCCTCTGCCTGTCATGGCCCCCGTAGTGCAATAAAGGATTGAGCTCTTCGTTTGACGCGAGCCAAACACGCGCCTTACAAGGCATTCAACTCCAAGCCTTTTATTAAACGCCTCCAGCAGGCATTCAACTCCAAGCCTTTTATTAAACGCCTCCAGCAGGCATTCAACTCCAAGCCTTTTATTAAAC